GGGGGGGGGGGTGTCCCAATTCCTTAAGGTTGCATTCATAAAACAGATAAACTATTCTTCAGAGGTTTAGCAGGCTTATCAACAGAGACTGAATGTTTATTTGCGCTAACTTTTTATCAATAGCCACCACCAGAAACTACCCATCCCAGGAGAGTTTATCTTTCTTTTCTTTTTTTGATAAGGTGAGAGTTTATCTATTGAAACAAGAAATTTTTCCGAATTCCTGAAATTGGAACCTGCAGAAGTGATGCCCAAGCACTACACAGTTAAATCTTGAAAATATGTTTAATAACAATTGGAATTGGAATGGAGACGTCCTACAGAAAGAATAATTAGATGGTGGACTTGGCAGATTGATATTTTAACCAGCCGTACAAGCTAAAACAGATCACCGACTGTTTCCATCAGATAGAGATGAAGCTTAGATTACACCAATGATCTTATACGCAGTAACTGTATAGCTCTGCAGGAGTCCTGAAATAACAACATGATTCCAACAACCTTGAAGTGCCAAAGACAATAACCAGGCAACACTAATGATGTTCAGTATGTTTCCACTATGACTAAAATAACCTAACCCTTTTTATCCATGGAAGACCAAAAACTTGCATCATTAGATTGAAACGATAAGTTAAATGTAGTTCTAGTGCAATCTATCCAAAAATATTAGGCAATCTAAAGAAGCAACTATACTTACCATGCGAGGATTCAACATCAAGGATTAGATCAAGTGCAAAGTCATAGTATGGAACTTGACTGCTCAATCCACAGAGGTTAAAATCATCTTGAATGTAGTCGTCATCAACCTTGCAGAAGAACTCATTCCCACGCAGGTTACAAAACCAAGTAATCCATGATGTGTCATCTCCATCAGAATCACTAACATCAGATTCTTCACTGTCTGATTCAGATTCCTCTGCAAAATACACATCCATGGCATTTACTCATATCTTGCTTAAAATGCAAGTAAAAAAGTCAAATCATTAAGAAAACCGAAGCATAAGCAAAATAAAATGGCTGATGTCCCCAGGAGTAATGAAAACATAGTGGCCACATACTTTGGCTTTTCCAGTATCTTCGGGTGAAACACCAAGAGTACAACAACAACAACAACAACTACCCAGTAAAATCCGACAAAGTGGGGTTTGGGGAGGGTAATGTGTACGCAGACCTTACCCCTATCCCGATAGGGCAGAGAGGTTGTTTTCGATAGACCCTCGGCTCAGAAAACAAGAAAAGACAATTCATTAGTAACTCTAGTAGAAACCGTAATAGTAACAGAAGCATAACAACCAAAAGATAAATGACATGCAATAACAGTAACCAGTAACTAAGGCCCGGGGCTAAGATAAACAGCAAGAATAGTGTGGATTCAACATAAACTGCAAGCCATCTAAGATCAACCCTAATCCAACCCCGCCTCACCCCCGGTATGAAGTAAGGAAAACTTTACTACCCCCTAACCTACAACCCTAATGCTTGACCTCCAAGTCTTCCTATCAAGGGCCATGTCCTCAAAATCTGCAGTCGTACCACGTCCTGCCTGATCACATCTCCCCAATACTTCTTAGGCCTCCTTCTACCTCTTCTCGTACCCACCACGGCCAACCGCTCACACCTCCTCACCGGAGCATCAAGGCTTCTCCTCCGCACGTGCCCGAACCATCTGAGCCTCGCTTCCCGCATCTTGTCATCCACAGGGGTCACGCCCACCTTCTTCCGAATATCTTCATTCCTAATCTTGTCTATCCTAGTGTGCCCGCACATCCACCTCAGCATCCTTATCTCTGCTACCTTTATCCTCTGGATATGGGAGTTCTTAACCGGCCAACACTCTGCCCCATACAACATGGCCGGTCTAACAACATCTCTACAAAACTTACCTTTGAGAATCGGTGGCACTTTCTTGTGACACAAGACTCCAGATACAAGCCTCCATTTCATCCAGCCCGCCCCTATACGGTGAGTGACGTCCTCGTCGATCTCTCCGTCCCCCCTGGATCATCGACCCAAGATACTTGAAGCTATCTCTCTTGGGGATGACCTGTGATCCAAGCCTCACGTCCCTGCCTACTTCCCT